ATTGTCCCCCATTCTGTATCTTTGCATTTCGTTTTTCCTGCCAAAGTGGAGTATCTTGCATTTGTTACTGTTGAACTTCATTTTGTTAGTTTTGGCCCATCTCTCTAATCTGTCAAGATCGTTTTGAATTCTGCTCCTGTCCTCTGGAGTATTGGCTATCCCTCCCAGTTTGGTGTCATCTGCAAACTTGATGATCATGCCTTCTAGCCCTTCATCTAAGTCATTAATAAGATGTTGAACAGGACCGGGCCCAGGACGGAACCCTGCGGCACTCCGCTCGTCACTTCTTTCCAGGTAAGAGGAAGCATTGGTGAGCACCCACTGGGTTCGTCCATTTAACCAATTACAGATCCACCTCACCGTAGTTTTGCCTAGCCCACACTGGACTAGTTTCCTTGCCAGAAGGTCATGGGGGACCTTGTCGAAGGCCTTACTGAAATCCAGGTACGCTACATCCACGGCATTCCCCGCATCTACCCAGCTCGTAACTATCGAAAAAAGAGATCAGATGAGTCTGGCATGACTTGTTTTTGGATAAATCCATGTTGACTATTAGCGATGACCGCATTTGTTTCTAAGTGTTTGCAGACCACTTCCTTAACAATCTTTTCCAGAATCTTGCCTGGTATCGATGTGAGGCTGACTGGACGGTAATTGTTTGGGTCATCCTTTTTTCCCTTCCCTTCTCTTCAAAACTGTATCTCTCTGCCTGAACAAAAATGTAACAGTATCCAAAAGTCCCAGGCGCAGCCATCTCCACAGACATTGCTGACCAATCAGTTTCATGGATCTTATTTTACAATTGGCACACACACTTACTGATTTCTTGCATCCTCCAACATTTTTTTTGTTGCAAGTGCTGGAAGACAGAGGTGTTATTGCATATTTTTCTAATGCTCTCAAACTGGAAGATCAAGGTGTTTACTCTGATCTTCAGGTTTGCCAGCATTAAAACAAACCCTTTGAAACAGTTTGACTCATTTTACTTCTAAGACAAGTCTGGCAACTTTGAGAAGCAGGAAACTTGTTATAGTTGTAACTTTTTTCTAAGCCTATTCGTCATGCTTGTATTCTACTCATGTAATAAAATATTTACTTTCAAGCAGTGGTTCTCAACCTTCCCAATGCCATGGCCCCCTAATACAGTTTCTCATGTTTTCAACACAGGCCTTTCAAGAAGACCCGTTCTTTTCCTGCTTTGTGCTGAACGTACTCGTGTTTATGTGCTTACGTGGGGCCTCATCTGGTTGCCTCATGGGAAAATGCAGGAAGATGTGCATTTCAGGGCCTGTGTTCTGTCGCGTGCTGGGCCTGTAACAGCTGTACTTTTCTATAGGACGTATACTTTAAGCTCAGCGGGAAGCCAGGGGTGCCTCAAAGAGAGGTTCTCGGGGATTTTCTGATGTGATGGTCTTTAGAGTCTTTAATGATACAACAAAGTCTTTATTATGGAACAAACAACAAATCTTCAATGGTTCAAACAACACTTCAAGGCTTTCTTAGTCTAGTCCTCAATGGACTGGTACCTGACTTTGATTAACTGTAATTTCTCTGTAGGAAAAAAAACCCTATTTAACCTCTCCCAGACTGCATACTACCTTGATATTCTGGGTTATATGGCTATGTGGAAGGGCCCTGGGTTTTCATGCCCATGGAGATCCACCCTTAAAGGACATGTAGAAGATTGCCTTGTTACTGTCTTTTTAAATATGAGGGTTGAATGAAAAGTAATGCCTCCACCTTCGTAACTTCTCAACAGATGGCAGTACCGGTAAGTGGCAGGTACTGATTCTTCTCTACAGTTCCATTTTGGCAAGAAGCCTTAGCATTGAACGGTTGTGTTGTTAAAGTGCGAAGTATGGAACCCTTAAGCAACGTGCAGTCATTGAATTCTTGATAGCAGAAGGTGTCACCCCAAAGGAGATCCATCAGAGAATGCAAGCTGTTTATGGTGATTGTGTTGATGTGATTACTGTGCGTCATTGGGTGAGTAAGTTTAAAGATGTCGAGGTGGAAACATCTGACTCATGTGACAAACAAAGAATTGGACGTCCTGTGACAGCAGCCACCGAGTTTCACAAGCAAAAGGTTGACAGATTGATTCAGGACAATTGTCATATCACTCACAGAGAAATTTCAAGCATAGTTGGCATTTCACAAGAACGTGTGGGTCACATTATTGCTTTGCTTGGCTATTGGAAGATCTGTGCACGATGGGTTGCGGAAACAGAGTGTCAACTTCTTCCATGACGGCTTCAGAAAACTTGTTCATCGTTGGCAGAAATGTATCCAATTGTCTGGTGATTATATGGAAAAGTGAATAGTGGTAGTTAAAGAGCATATTCTAAGCATTATTTCTGCATTTGATTTATTAAAATATTCCCATCCAAACCCAAGTAATGAAGGTGGAGGTATTACTTTTCATTCAACCCTCATCATATGAAACTTTCTATCACAAACAAGAAGTTTTCTGCCTAATGAGATGAAAAAGGAATGAGAGAGGGCAACGGTGGCATAGCACAACACAATGGGTAACATCACTATAAACTGCAAGGGATTGCTGCAAGAGAAGGTGAAGCAAAATGAGAAGTGCAGCCCAACAAGGACCAAGTAGTGAGAGCACAATAATCCCAAATAAAGTCCCAGGAGCTCACATGGCAGCGGGGAGGACTGGATGATTCTTACGGTCTCTTCCAACTCCATGATTCTATGATTTTATGATTCCATGTTCCATATTTTAACTGTTTTTGAGATAGAATCATAGAATCAAAGAGTTGGAAGAGACCTCATGGGCCATCCAGTCCAACCCCCTGCCAAGAAGCAGGAATATTGCATTCAAATCACCCCTGACAGATGGCCATTCAGCCCCTGTTAAAAAACTTCCAAAGAAGGAGCCTCCACCACACTCCGGGGCAGAGAGTTCCACTGCTGAACGGCTCTCACAGTTCTTCCTCATGTTCAGATGGAATCTCCTCTCTTGTAGTTTGAAGCCATTGTTTCACGTCCTAGTCTCCAGGGAAGCAGAAAACAAGCTTGCTCCCTCCTCCCTGTGACCTCCCTTCACATATTTATACATGGCCCTCATCATGTCTCCTCTCAGCCTTCTCTTCTTCAGGCTAAACATGCCCAGCTCCTTAAGCTGCTCCTCATAGGGCTTATTCTCCAGACCCTTGATCGTTTTAGTTGCCCTCCTCTGGACACACTCCAGCTTGTCAATATCTCTCTTGATCCTAACATTTTGAAACATGCTCAGCGCAATGCTTCAGATAAATTCGTAAATCCTGCTCAGAAATGTACATTGGCATTTATTTTTGTTTTAGTGTTGAGAAATGTACTGATTTTGATGCCTTAGGCAGCATATCAAGCTTTCCAGGAATGTTGCCTTTCGTTAATTGCTGTCAATTGGTCTTCAGTTTATGGCAATGCTCTGACTGAATGACCTTTCAACTTCATTTTCTGTTTTGTCCCTGGTGGAAACACCACATTGCCACTAATGCTCCCTATCAGACAGATTTGCCAGCAATTCATTGGCTGCTGATAGATGATGTGTGTTCCCAGGGTGGGGATGACACAGAACAGGGAGGGGAGAGAAGAGGATCCCTGAGGTTGGTAGAACATCTCAAAAGAGAAACACCCAGGGAGAGGGGACAAGAAGAACGCCCCAGGTAAGAGGAGTCCTCACTGGGAATAGAAACATATCAACAGAGAATTGCCAAACAGAGCAGAATATAAAATGGGGAAGATTAAGAATTGGAGGAATTTATAGACCACTAGCCATCCCCTGCCACGTGTTGCTGTGGCCCAGTCTGGTGATCTGGAAAATAAAGTAACAAGAAAGTGTTGGTTTCTAATATATGTAATG